AAGGGTTCAGAAAATATTTGCAAGGATGTCTCCGAGCTGGAGGGTTTGAGCTATAGGAAAAGGCTGAATAGGCTGGGACTAGTTTCACTGGAGTGTCAGAGGTCAAGTGGTGATCTTATAGAGGTTTATAAAATCATGAGGCACATGCATAAGGTAAATAAACAAGGTTCCCCCCCTCCACCCAACCCCAGGGTAGGGGAGTCCAAAGACAGAGGGCATAGGTTTAAGGTGAAAGACTTAAAAAGGGACCCAAGGGGCAACTTCTTCACACAAAGCGTGTATGGAATGAGCTGCCATAGGAAGTGGTGGGGCAAGGCATCTGGATGGGTACATGAATAGGAAGGGTTTAAGAGGGATATGGGCCAAATGTTGGCAAATGGGAACGGGATTAAGTTAGGGTATCTGGTCGGCATGGATGAGTTGGACTGAATGGTCTGTTTCTGTGCTGTACAGCTATGACAGACTTGCATTTTTGTGGCTCCTGTCCAGGCTTCAGGACACCCAAACGCACTTCATAGCTGCAGTGTGGCTCGTTGCCAGCAAGGTCTGTTGTACTGAACTTTTATTTCTGCAATGCTGGACATTTTATTTCTCTATTGTCTAAGATCTTGTAATTAAAGAAGCTGTGCCTAGGTATTTTTGTCTAAGTTGGCACGGTGATTGGTGATATATGAACTTTTCACTCTCATTACGTATGTGACAATAAAGGCTAGTCTATTCATCCAAGGATTTATTTCTGAAACAGTCACTGCTCAGCACATAGAGTCTGTGCTCTCTGCCATGAGAAAAATTAGTTAGACCTCTCCTTCCCCATATCCATTCCTTCAAGTATCTATTCAATTCACTTTTGAAGGCTACAATTGAACATTTACCACCCCATCAGGCAGTCAATTCCAAATTCGAAACATTCCTTGCATAAAACAAAACACTTTTCCCTCAAGTCCGATCTGACCCTTTCGCCAATCACTTCAAGTCTACGCTCTCTGCTAAACAACCAGCCATTAACCATTTCTCTCCGCTCACATTAAACGTTGCATGTTGAACAAGTCAGTTTAGATTTCTTCACTCCAAAGCGGACACATTTTACTGCAATCCCTGAAACTGCCAGTAAATTTATTTTGTTACTTGGAGAGCCTACACAATCTTCATAAACAGCAGTGTCCAGAATTAGAGAATACACCGGCTATGGCCAAACTACTGAGAGTACTACACAGATTCAGAACAGCCTGGCTTTTGTGCACTTTGCCTTTATTTATAAAACTCAGGATATGAGAGACTAAAATCACTGACTATTTTTGTCACAATAAAAGGTACATCAACATCGGCTGACTTATTCTCAAAACAAAACAATGAAATGTAATTCGAGGGCTGTATATCTCTTCTCCAGTCAAAGAAGCAAATGCTGGAGATCTGGAACAGAAACAAAGTGCTGGAAGAGACCAACAGAGCTGGCAGTATCAATGGAGAGAAACGTCATTAATGCTTGAGGTCCAATATGACCTTTTTTACAATTGATTGGGGCTGGAAAATGATAATTCTTATGCTGTTGACAAAGGGGGAAGAGGAACAAATGGAACAGATCGGGGTGGTGCCCAGAACAAAAGGCAAATGGAATACTAATTTTTTTTTTAAAAATAAGCTTGACACACAAAGAAATTATTAATAAGAGGCTTGATTTGTCAGCTAAATATACGTAACTTCTGTTCCAATTGAAGATCAATACTGAAGAACCAGCTTAAAATATGTTACAAGGAAAGGTTGTGGCAAAGAAACTGGATCAATTAGATGTCAAAACTTAAATCATAGAAGATGGATATTGTGATAACAAATGTCAAGTTCATTCACAAAAGGTGGATGTTTGCTACCTTTTATGTAATAATTGTGAAAATCAGTTATGGCTAACATTGTTCAAAATTGGAGAGATGCAGATAATCAGAGTTCATGCCCAAATCAATCTCAAGATCTACACAAGATACCATGGATAACAAAAACAGAAGTGACTGGAAAAGCTCAGCAGGTCTGGCAGCATGTGAAAAAAAAAATCAGAGTTAACGTTTTGGGTACGGTGACCCTTCCTCAGAATAATCCTGTAGTGTTCCTGACCTCAAAGTTGCCTCTCCTGAGAAGTCATTCTCCTACTGCCTGCACTAGCCATTCCTGCAAAACCTATCAGGATACCGAGTGCAGTCCACTAGAAGTTAAATGCCTTTACACAAGAGTCGAGGCATACATTTCCGAGATAGAATTTTATTTCAACCAAACACACAACATAAAACACATCCACCTTCTGACACAGAGACAGGCACGCTACCACTGTGCACAAGCCCTCAACATTTCAATATGCTTTTGCAAAGCTTAACCAAATTGAACTGAACCAAATGAATAAAACAGTGCCTTCTGGGGCCCTGTAAAAATAATTCATTGTATTCAAAATGTGTAATAGCTCACAACACTCGTTTGCCTCGTTACCTTAACTCTTTAGGTATTTAGCTGCAGATTAAAGAGAATTAACTATGACATTAAGTACCATGTGTCTACATGGTCTGATACAGATTAATTTCCTGAATCATTTCAAATAGAAGGCAACACAGAACCAGCTAGTTTCATTGGATTCAAAACAAGCAATTCAGGATAAAACAGAAACAAAAAAAAGAATGCAGCTATATTCACCTGTCTAGAGGGTGAGGTGAAACTATGCCCCTAAATCAGCTGAAAAATTGTAAGAACAAAGATAGGCAGAAACCCAATTTACAAATCTGCCTTGTTAACAAAGTAGGTAGAAATTAGAACTGTTTCATATGTAACAAATTCAGATAAATGGGATTAACAAACACCTCACCATTTGTGATGCTGTAAAGATAAAGTTAAGGCTTTGTGCCAACTGCTCATGTTCACAGATAGATTATAGACTGCATAAACAGGTGTGTCATAAAGTAAATGTTACATCCACAACAGCTAATGAGCCTAGATTTAATCATTAACCTTGAAACTGACTAAATCATAATTGGACAATAGCATTTCTAGCTATGAAATTATTACCTTAATTCCAAAAAGATGGAAAATTACAAGGCTACCAGATTAATAATACCAGGTTAGTTGTCGAGTACAAGCTTAAAAACTTATTTAGTCCAATAATTATTTTTCAGAAGAGCCAAAAGAGGGTTTCTTAAGGTTTTGGAGTAGATTTGTAGCTTGGGTTGTGGATGTTGTGGTCGGTTGGCTCACCGAGCTGGTTTGTTGCTCTGCAGACGTTTCATTACCCTGCTGGGTAACATCGTCAGTGCAGCCTCCGATGAAGCACTGTGGTGTTTTCTCACCTGGGATTTAAACTCTAGTGTCTGTTGAGCTGGATTACCTCACTTCTGGTTTGCCCTCGCAATGGAGTGTATACGGGGTCGAGCTCCACGTGTTTGTTTATGGCTTTCTTCATGGGAGTACCAGGCTTCTACAAATTCCCGTGCTTGTCTCGGCTTTGCCTGTCCCAGGATTTTGGTGTTGTCCCAGTCAAATTGGTGGTTCTCCTTATCCATGGAGATAGAGATGAGTGAGTATTGGTCATTTTTTTTGTAGTCAATTGATGTTCGTGTACCCTTGTTGTTAACTTCCTTCCTGTTTGTCACAGTCTCTGCAGGAAATCTTGTACATGACATTGATCCTGTCCATAGTGGGTAGTGGGTCATGGGTCTTTGGTTCAGGTGAGCAGTTGGTGTCGGGTTGATGTGAGTTTGTGTGCTACTCTGATGTCCAGTGGCCGTAGGAGTCTAGTGGTCAGTTCAGATGTGTTCCTGATGCAAGGTAGTGTGATGAGTGTGTCGGGGCGTGTAGTGTCTTCCTGGTGTCGTTCGTGCAATAGGCATCTTCTGACCCAGTTTTTCGGGTATCCATTGTTTTTGAATACCTGGAAGAGTTCTACCATGGCATCTAGGAATGGGAGCTGTTTGTTCTTCTCCACTTCTCTGGTGAATCGGATTCCGGTGAGGATGTGGTTTATGAGATCATGTGTCTCCTCTGGTTTGGTCCGGATGACGACGACGATAATGAAGGTGTCGTCTATGTAGCGTATCCATAGTTTTAGTTGGAAAAAGAGGATTTCACATCATTAAAATCAGCACATGAACATTCATAGAGAAATATACCTTCTCTGAGCAGAGAAGGTTTGCTAGTATTCAAAACCAAACTGGCCGAAGACAGTAACTAAGGAGAAACTGGTTTCACTGGCAGTTACGATTTACTCAGTTTCAAGGTTAGCAAGAACCAGAGGAAACAGATTTATTTCACGCACATCATTGTAGTCTGGAAATATGCAGACAAAAATGACAAACAAATTCAAAGCGGACTTTCACAAAAGGGAATCAAAATGTACACTTGAAAAGACAGTATTTTCAGAGCTTTGGGGAAAGGCAAAGAAAATAGACCTCCTAAGAGTGCATAGCTCTTCCAAAAAGAACGGCACCAATACAATGGGCAGCATAGTCTCCATCTGTACAAAGTAAGTCTACAGATAAATTTCACTAGCATTGAAATCAAACCAAAGTCATCCCTTTCAGTAGCAGTAGAAAGCAAACACCCTAGTCTATTAGATCAGCCTCACTTCAAGACTGTATATTGGCGCAAGAGATGAAAAATTGGAAGGAAAAAAGTTTAAATAATCTCGAACAAAATGATCTGTTCTTATTCCAATAGGCATGTTAAAAAACAACACAAGCCTATTATGCATTGTGCGAATTTTGAGATCTTACCAAGACATTTTTCAACTTGATGTCTCGATGTACAAGTCCTTGGCGGTGGAGAAATCGGATACCTTCCACAACATCAAGAGCAATCTGCAAACGTACTTCAAGCTTCAGACCAACCTAGAGAATAGAAACAGTGTGTGTATGAGAGATTCAGGTAGTCATTGCAACATCATGGTTTAGAATTCTACCTCTGCACTTGTGAACTGGAATAAAACGCTTATAGAACCAGGACAGGGGTGACTTTTTAGGAAGATTTAAGTTAGTTTATGTTTATGTTTGAGACAATAAGCAAAATGAACATGTAAACAAATGCAAGGTCCAAATCTAGGTTCTTGTGTCTGTTCAGAAGATTATTAAAATCTAGGAAATCTAAAATGCTGGATATCTGTAACTCTGAGGTCGCATGGGTGTACAATCCCATTTTAAGATAATGGGAAAAAAAAAAGAGCGCTGGCATGAGATCTCTTATAACGACTACCTCAAGTTACTTTTCTCTCCAAAATGTGCTCGGCAATCAGTTGATCAAGGATTCAAGTTAAATGCAGCAAAGAATCCAGCTCATAACTGGAACAAAAACAAACTTAAATCTCACAAGGAGTTTGTTCTGAAACTTTGAGGTTCTGTCTCAATACAAATTACATACAAATTAATTACTTATTGATTTACAAATAGACAAATAAAGCTGCCATTTTGCAGATACAAAACAACCAGTTAAATCTGTTTTAGTGGGATTTACATATATAAACAAAATAGACGGAGATAACTGGAAAACATCTGCTGCTATTCGTTGATAGTTTACATGGTTATACAACAGATGCCCAGGTAATTCCATGGCAAGCAATTGGAGACTTGGGATGAAAGCTAGGGGTTGGATTTTACAAACATGACAAAGTCATGCAGATTGCCATTTCTTTTAAAAGGCGGCAGCTCCGGATTTCTCAGGGGACTTTCCACCCAGGCCTCCACAGATGAGGATCCATACTCCATTCTGACTGTTACTGGGTTGCGCAAATTGTCGAAGGGTACAGTCTTTCGAGGGATATGAAGCAAAGTCTGGCAAATAAGGTGGAGGTGCAGGCCATTCACAGTTTAATTGACTGAACTAAGTTGGAACAGTTGAATGGCCTACTCCTGGACAGAGCTAGAGTCCACACATGGAATAGCAGTCAGCTTCCTGTTTGCCTACCTTCAGTCCAGCATAAAGGTCTCGGTGTAACCTCTCCATGATCAACAGGACAGCAATACTGGATCCACCTCCATAACTGTAGTCTATTACTGACCCATGAAGATCAGCCAGTCGCTCATGTCTGGGTAAAGATCTATTGGAGAGAAAAAAAACATGACTTTTTAATTTTAGAAATGCACCATACTTGGCTGTTCCCATATTTGGCTGAATTTCCAATGACAGCTAATATAGTTTACTTACCATCCACTCACCTGTATTGAATTTAGGAACAGTAACTTAATAAAGTCCTATTTATTGTGATTTTATAAAGCAGAGGCTAGTGTGGATTTCAAACCGGAGGATGTATGCTCAGAGCGAATAGTTCCTTTAAACTTAAAATCAAATTGCCAAACCTGGGGTTTTCTATCCATGATCAACCATTCAACTATACCCAGGCTTCCAAATCTCAACCTTCCTTCTTGCCCCTAACCCTTTATGGGGCAACTTTTTTCATACTTACTCAACTTTAAACAAAGCTACACTGGAATAGTTCGTTTTTAAATCAAGATCCATCACACTACTAATGCTCCGAGTAGATTTGTAGCTTGGGTTGTGGATGCTGTGGTTGGTTCGCTCGCCAAGCTGGTTCATTAGTTAGCAGATGTTTCGTTATCCAGCAGGGTAATATCAGATAAGGAGAACCACCAGTTCGATTGGGACAACACTAGGATTCTAGGACAGGCCAAACAAAGACAAGCACGGGAATTCCTAGAGGCCTGGTTCTCCACTAAGAAGGCCATCAATAAACACAGACCCTATATATACACACTGCGAAGGAAAACCGGAAATGAGGTAACCAGATCCAACGGACCCCAGAGTTTAAATACCACGTGGGAAAACACAACAGCACTTCATCAGAGGCTGCACTGATGATGTTACCCAGCAGGGTAATGAAACGTCTGCGGAACAACAAACCAGCTCGGCGAGCCAACCAACCACAGCATCCATCACACCAGGACTGGGTGGGAATGAGCTTAAATTCAGAAGAAGCTGAATTTAAAATTGGAGATGCAACACCAAAAATTCTAAGAAAACAAAAAAATGTAGCAGGACAAGTCATGACCTGTATCAAAACAGTTAACACCAGATAAGGAATCAAACTGCACCTTTCTGATCAATATGGATTAAAAGAAGGTAGTACGTAACTACACGCATGACCATAAGACTCTAAGAAACAGGAACAGGCCATTAAGATCCTCAAGCCTGTTCCTATAGTCAACAGATCATGGCTGATCCAACATTCGTCACGTATACTTTCCTGTGTTTTCTTTGTAACCTTGGATTCCCCTACTGATCAAGGGTTTCTCTCAGCCTTAAACTGACGTAAGGACTTGGCCTCTACAGCTCTCCGTGGCAAGTAGTCCCAAAGATACTCAACCCTCAGGAGAAATTCTTCCTTATGAAACTTAAATTGGTAATGCTTGAAACTGAGGACACGACCAGACGGAGTCCTCGAAACAAGACTGCAGACTTTGGCGTCGTGCTCCAGGATGCAAAACTCTGCACAAACCCTACCTAGTGTAGTGGAATTCGAGTGCCAGGTCGTTCCAATGCTTGTCATCTGGAGGCACGACTGACTTCAGTGCACAGGGCGAGTGACCAGCCCAACTGTCGCACATGTACACAACTCCATACTGGCCACGGCCCAGCTCACGCCCTAATTTAGGTTTACCTGTGTTAGAGAGACAAACACCATTACAGCACTGTATTCAGTGTGGGCGCAGCACCAAAGGATGGACATATTGGCCCTTTAGCACAGATTCAACTGATGATATCAGGGCTAGAAGAGTTAAATTACGGCTGCTTGCATAGACTAGGCCTGTATTCCCTCAAGAGTCAAAACTAAGACAAATGAATTCTTGAGGTGGGAATAATAAAAGGGAAGATGGAATCAACATAACATTCAACCATGATCTAACTCAATAAACTCATAGGGTTGAATGACCTACCTTTACTCCTATTACAGAAAAATCACATTTAACCTGGTGATAGAAGTAGGTGCATTAGATTGAGTACACGGTCATTGCTAGCAAATGCATTAAACAAGTCAACCCCCAAAAGTTTAAAGAAAAGATAAATGCAAACGAATAATAACCTTACCATGCAACAACAAATCCCGAAGAGAACGACTTTCCAATGAAAGACGAGCTAAGCGTGGTGCATGGTCTTTGCGTACTTTTAGCCACAGATCTTCAGTTTTCTCAAGCCTTCCTGAAAGTCCTGTTTCAAGCTGTGGAGAACAATGAAGAAAATCAAATTACTTCATGAATTGAAGGGGAAGCTGATGTGTTGAAAGTAAAAATAGATAATAATTAGTGAGACAACTAATATGATGTTTTAGTGAGGGCATAAACATAGAAGACATAAGCAGGAATAGGCCATTCGACCCCCTCGAGCCTGCTGCACCATTCAACATGATCACGGCTGATCAGCAAGTTCCATACCCTAATCCTTTCACCCCCGCCCCCCCATGCCCTTTGATCTCTTCAGCAATAAGGGCTATAATTACCTCCTCCTTAAAAACACCATGTTTTAATCATCATGTTTTTAAACAAAGGAGGGTAGAGAGCAATGTACATAGTTTCATATGAAGCACTAATACTGGCACGAACTAACAGGACTGAATGGCCTGCCACAGTTCTGTACAACGTACTTGAGTGGCTCCTTCAGTTGACAGGTTTGCTTTTTAACTGGTTAAGAAACGGGGCAAGAATTTTCACCTTAACCTGACAGTTGAATGAATGAAAGAGAGAGTTTGTGCAACAAGTCCCAAAGTATTTCTCACTGTTAACTACTCCTGAGCACAAATATTTAGCACAGCATTTTACACACAGCAAGAACCCACAAGCAGTAGTGAGCTAAAGACTTGGTGAAAGACTTGGTTGAGGCGGAAGCTCGGTCAGTGTATTCAACATCCTGTACATGAGAAGTGTCCTTCAATTAAAGACTGAAAAAGCTGAAGTTATTGTTGCTCATCTTCACACCAGAAGTTGATTCCCGAACTACCAAGTCCATCCACCCTCCAATAAAAGTATACCTACTCAACATCGGTGCCACATTTGCCTGCAACATGAATTCCGAGCCTTATTGTTACCAAATGTTTATTTCTACCCTCAATGTTGTCAGACTTTGTCTCAACTCATTGGAAGCTGAAACCTTCACCTGTCTTTGTCAGCCCTGGAACTGACTGCTCCAATGCAATCCTGGTTGGTCCCTACCATTCTACTCTTGTGATTAGAGGGCATTTATAACTTGGATGCCAACATCTCATTTTGCATTGAGTCTAGCTCCTCTACCACCCATGTGCTTAGTGACTTATTGGTTCCTGATCAAGCAACATATTTATTCCAAAGTTTTCACATTCCTCAGCAGTCTTGTCCCTCCATACCTCTCATCTCCCCTTGCTCCACAACCCTCAGATATTAGTGGCCATGTAATTCTGGCCTCCTCAGTGCCACTTAAACTGCTCAACCATTGACAGCTGTGTAATACAGAACCTGTGGAATTTCTTCCCTCCATGTATTTGCCTCATTTTTCCTTCTTAAAGGCATGACCTAACAACTAACTCTTCAATCAAACATTTCACCATCTGTCCCAGTAGCTCATGTGGCTCAGTCATATCTTGCTTTAAAGTGTTTCTATGAAAGACATTGTGATGTTTTACTGTTAAAAACACTACAAATACAAGTAGTTGTCATAAAGGAAGGCAGATTGACACACCTTTAATACCTCAGGTTACTACCAGGTGTTTGCAATAACTTCAGTTGCAGGTAACAACAGCCAATTTATGGTCAACAAGTTCCAGCACTGTAATGGTGACAAATAATCTGAATTTCTTTTTTTAAATAATATTGGTTGAAAAATAAACATAGGCCAAGTCACAAGGAGAAGTTCCCCTATTTTTCTCTGGAGTTGTGCCTTGAAATCTTTAGTGTCCAGAGAAGATATAGTTTTAACTATTTATTCCAAAAGGCTGACAAATGCAACAATGAAAGAACTGAATGTCACCAAGATTGTGTCTCTCAGTCTCTGAAGTGGAATGAAAGCCTACCAACTTTTGATTCAGATGAAATCAGACATGTCACAAGAGCTTAGACAAGAGATTCCTTTCAATCAACAGTACAGTCTGATATTGGCTTTGGATCAAAATCCTGGTTGGGAAGCAAATTGGGACTGTTAACCATGCCCCAAGTACAAGTGCTGTGGAACAAATGTTTTTCAAGAACTTCAGTATATTATGTTAACATGAACAAACCTGTCGTAGAGAGGCAGCAAAAGCTTCGTGTGAGCTGTTGAGCCGGGTGCGGAACTGACTACATATGCTCTTGGCGAGTTTAGATGCACAGAGACTCTCAATGGCATCCTGTGCAATTTTCCTTTTCCATTCAATCGTCACAGCTGGGGGATGTACCCAAGGCATCCTATGAATAATCTAGTGGAAAGAGACATAAAAGAAAAGAAAAGAAATGAATTTCATTACTTTCTAACAAAGAACCTCAAAAGTTTCAGTACAGAGTAACCAATACATCAACAATATTTACAAATATTGTATAGCTTCACTCGTTACAATTTTTCTCTGTAAGGTGCAAACTCCTGCTGCAATGCAACTCTATGGTCTCGAGCAACCTTCCTCAATTATTTCATCCAAGGTGCAGTCTTCACGATGTGCTTACAGAGAACAGTGATGTGGTCATTCTCACGTACACTTCCAACATGGGACACTGGACTGCATTCAGGATTGGAAACCTTGTTGGCTGAACTTGCTCGTCCCTTGCTGACATCCAAAAGCTCAATATGCACCAGGAAGGAATAGACCTCTTCTGGGGTGTAGAACATACATCCACTAGGTTATTAGGTAAACCATTGCTGATAAATTGACCAAATGGCGATTGACCTCAATGCAACTGGAATTACATGAAATGCAGCAATTATACACCAAACAGAAAACAAACTGTTCATTGATAATTAGACTCCTGACAGGTACTTCAGAATTGCTGAAATATCCTTCCTGTCCATTCTTCAACCCCTCCCCCCCAACTCCCCCATTCCCAATCCATTTGTTTGATAGATCAGTACATCACCCCTTCCTAATCTTCAATGAGCACCATTCTATATTCAGCCAGATGTACACAAAGTACCTCGGAACAATACGGGAGATAGTAGGAACTGCAGATGCTGGAGAATCCAAGACAACAAGGTGCAGGGCTGGATGAACACAGCAGGCCAAGCAGCATCATAGGAGCAGAGAGGCTGACGTTTCGGGCC